ACCACATGAGTTGGAAGGGCCGAGCATGGACCAGAGAACAGCAGAGATCCTGACCAGGGCTCAAACGGATATGCATAAAGAAATCGGGGTCATTGGGCCAAAAAGAGGTTTATGTAGCAGTTCTGATAAGACACCTGAAATACAGGGACAAATGGTATGTGAAAACTGGCAAAATGGATCAGAAGAGAGCTCATCTGTACAGGGTTTGGATACAGATCCAAGTGGTGTAGCAAAAGTTAAAATGGTGAGACAGCCGCCTGCAGAGTACATGACACCAGGTGAAGTGGCATTTTGTGAGGTTCACGTGGGTGATGGCTGCCCTATGGTGTGTGTGCCCTCTGCAGACACTGTCCTAACAAATGCTGGAAAAGATATTGAAAGGTGTAATATTGACTGGAATATAACTGTTCATGGTAAACTGAATGCTGTGGTGATGAGTCATGCAGGTTTGATAGCTAAAAGTACAAGAAATCAGGGGGGTGGTCCCGGTACAAATACAGTAGAAATAGTTCCCCTACAGCCTTGGGACAGGAATACTGAGAGAGGTATTAGGAAACCTGAGCACCTGAAGCAATGGGGCTTCAGGGGGAGAGACACCAAAGGAGTCATTGGGTAGAGTCCCCCTTTAGGAAAGGTATGGTTAGACTAGATTGGACCCCTGTAAGTGAGAGCTGGCACAGAGGTGCCAGAAGGTATAAGTTGTGTGTTCTGCCCCCTACGGGATCAAAACAAAGGGGGGGGAAATGTGGCAGTGCGGTATCCTGCCACGGTGGAAATCATGATGGAGACCCAGGATTCTCAACCATGCAGGTTGAGGGGCTCCAGGCAGTTCTCATAATGCAGAGGAAACGGGTTTATAAGTTTCCTCTTTGGTTTGTAAAGCCTGTTTTGGGACCTGTTGCCTGGAGATTTCTAAGAGATTTGGGAGGGATGAAATCTCCAATCCTGGGCCCATATTTTGGGAGCAGCCAGTGTGCTGATTGCACAGGTGTGTGCAGGCCTTTTTGTGGAGGCCAGGCCATGAGTCTGAGCTCCACCCCGGCAGTTAGGAGGACTCCACCCAGGCAGACGGGAGGTCTCTGCCGTGGAGTCAGGTGGGCTACACCTAGGAGAGGTGGAAGCCAGACTAGCTGTGTGCTAGTGCCATACTTTGGGGAAGAGTCTGCAGGAGGCAGACTTAAAACTGCGTACAAGCCAGGAGGCTGAATACTGTTTATTTGAATTCGTGTGATGGTGGATACCCCTGCGTGGGAAGAATTTTGGTTGTTTGAACTTTCTTAAATAAAAGTGGGCAAACAGGCCCTTAAAAAATAAGCGAGTTGCTGTGTGCTTTGAAGAAGCTCTACCACTTGAAGCGAGTTCCCACAATATATATATATATATATATATATACACAGTTGTGTTCAAAATAATAGCAGTCAGACATCACTAACCTGATCAATCACTGTTTTTGGTAGAAATTATATTTCTACATGGCAAATAATTTACTAGCAGGTGTAGTAGAGTAATAGAAATCCAACAGACCCAACAGTCTTGACATGCATGCTGCTGATTCTGTGTAATTGAATCACTAATTGAAAGGGGCATGTTCAAAATAATAGCAGTGTGGAGTTCTATTAGTGAGGTCATTCATTCTTTGAAAAACAGGTGGCAATTATTGCCCTTATTTAAGGAAGGCAGCAAATGTTGTACATGCTGGTTACAGTGCATTTCTCTCTGAAATTCTGAGGAAAATGGGTCATTCCAGACATTGTTCAGAAGAACAGCGTACCATGATTAAAAAGTTAATTGGAGAGGGGAAAACATATAAAGAAGTGCAGAAAATTATAGGCTGCTCAGCTAAAATGATCGCAAATGCTTTAAAATGGCAACCAAAACCTGAAAGACGTGGAAGAAAGCGAAAAACTACCATTCAAATGGATAGAAGAATAGCCAAAATGGCAAGGACTCAGCCAACATTCAGCTCCAGGAAGATCAAAGAAAGTCTAAAGTTACCTGTGAGAACTGTTACAATTAGAAGACGCCTATGTGAAGCCAAGCTATCTGCAAGAAGCCCCCGCAAAGTCCCACTGTTGAAAAAAAGACATGTGCTTAAGAGGTTACAATTTGCCAAAGAGCACATTGACTAGCCTAAAGAGAAATGGCGCAACATTTTGTGGACTGATGAAAGTAAGATTGTTCTTTTCGGGTCTAGTGGCCGAAGACAGTTTGTCAGACAACCCCCAAACACTGAATTCAAGCCACAGTACACTGTGAAGACAGTGAAGCATGGTTGCGCAAGCATCATGATATGGGGATGTTTCTCATACTACGGTGTTGGGCCTATTTATCGCATACCAGGGATCATGGATCAGTTTGAATACATCAGAATAGTTGAAGAGGTCATGCTGCCTTATGCTGAAGAGGAAATGCCCTTGAAATGGGTGTTCCAACAAGACAACGACCCCAAACACACCAGTAAACGTGCAACATCTTGGTTCCAGACCAATATTGACGTTATGGAGTGGCCAGCCCAATCCCCGGATCTTAATCCAATAGAAAACTTGTGGGGTGACATAAAAAATGCAGTTTCTGAGGCAAAACCAAGAAATAGAGAACTGTGGAATGTAGTCCAATCATCCTGGGCTGGAATACCTGTTCACGGGTGCCAGAAGTTGGTTGACTCCATGCAACACAGATGTACAGCAGTTCTCAGAAACCGTGCTTATACAACTAAATATTAATTAAGTGATTCAAAGGAAAGCCAAATCTTCAAACATTTTTCAGTTTATATAGTGAATGTTTGAGTCTGTAAAGAAGAATACAAACACTGCTATTTTTTTGAACAGTCTAATATTCACTTTTCTTCAATTTGTTTAGAGGAACAACACAAATTTGATATATTTTTCTTCATGTTTTAATTTTGAATAGAATGTGTAGTGTTCCCAATGCATTTGTGTGTATGGAAATAAAAGCTATTAGAAGGATTTTGAGCTTTATTCACTTTTTTAAAAACACTGCTATTATTTTGAACACAACTGTATATATATTTACAGATATTTTAGTTGTTTGAGTTTAGTTATTTGAGTTTAGTTATTTGAGTTTAACGCAATCACTTTATTATTGGTTCTTTTCACTAACAGCACTACACCATATACTTTAAATTCTATCTATTGATAAAACCTTGTTTAGTTTTTAGAAATTACTAACAGACAACCATGGATAAATAACCACTGTAAGTAGGATGGAAAGTGGTATGTAATCATTTTCTTTTTTTTAACCGATTATGCTGGAACAGGAGGTAAGAGTAGATGTTCCATCACGGACACATATTTCATTGACAACCATCTAACATGGTATGTTTCCTTGCTTTGGAGAGAATTCTTCCCACTTTCAAGTGTCTCTGGGACAGAAAGTGAAAACAAAACTGAAGATAAATACCCCCAAAGTAACCCAGTAATAATTAATAATAAACAAATAACTCTATAAATAAATTACTACTCTATGAAAAATTTGAAGAAAATATTTTTTTCCTATAGATACACTTTCACTTGTCAATAAGTTTGCTATAATTAATAGTGACAGCCCTAAGGACATGGATTTTATGGTGACAAATTTCTCAATAAATACTGAAAATCAGAGACAGTTGTTAGCTATGCAAGATTTTTTCAATAAATATAAAGAAGACAGACACTCTTAAATTGTGTTTAGTAACACCTGCATATGCTAAAAGCTGGTCCTCTGCAAAGGATTAGTTACCATTCAGGAGCAACATAAACCAATCTTTATTCATACTGCAAAATAAAGAGTACATGGCTAGTACTAATAAAGGCAAAAACACAAACAAGTACTAGATCACTCAAATAGTTCTTAAAACATATAAAGCCACATTTGTGAAACTATTAATGGTGGTGATCAACGACTTATAGTGGGACTGCGGGACTGCAGTGGGCATTCTGACACTGGGGGGAACTGTCTTGGCGTCACTGACATCCCCAGTGACACCAATACAGTGATCAGTGCTAATAAAAAGCACTGACACTGTTCTAATGACACTGGGCATGAAGGAGTTAACATATGGGGTGATCAAAGGGTTAACTGTGTGCTGTGTGCCATTTACTTTGTGTCATGTGTTAGTGCTTTGCTGTAAGCACACAACCATGCAAAGCAGTGTGCAGCAGCCTACAGGGAGGAGAACTGTTTTGTTTACTCTACCCCCTGTCAGAGATCCTCAGACATCACCGGGCGCCTGCAGGTAATCACTGGCCAGGACCCGGTGATTGAAAGCTGCGGCTGTGACCAGTGGCGCGGATAGGGCACACACACGCCCCCTACCCGGAAATGCTAAATTACGTATATATACCTGATTTTGTGCACAGCTGCTTCCCTGTAGCAGTATTTCTGCTATGGGGCGGAGCTGAAGCAGTTCTTTTATAGCAAGGTTTAATCTTTTTTTCATTAGTGCATTAGACTTTAAACTATTTTTATTGCCATTTTCGGCATCCAATTACATTAAGGGATAGTAAACCTGTAAATGATCCATAGCAACCAACCACTGCAGTTCTCAATTTTTAATGTGAAAAAAGAAACCTAGTAATGGATGTTCATTGCGAAAAAAAACCCCCTAATTTGATCAATCCACTCGAACTGTAGCAATAAAAAACAATTGTTATAAGGGTCTGTTCATAGCATGCCACTCAACTGCAGTGAGGTTAACCACTAGCCTACAGGGCACTTATACCCCCTTCCTGCCCAGGCCAATTTCCGGCACTGATGGGCAATGATGAGGAGGCACCGGTAGGTGGAACTGATGGGCATTGACAGGCATCACTGATGGGCACTGAAAGGCAGCACTGATATATGGCACTGATAGGTGGCAGTGATAGGCGGCACTGACTGGCACTGATAGGCGGCACTGACTGGCACTGATAGGTGGCACTAATTGGCACTGTTAGACGGCACTGATAGGTGGCACTGTTAGCCAGCACTGATATGCAGCACTGACGGGCACTGATAGGCGGCACTGATGCACACTGATAGGCGGCACTGACTGGCACTGATAGGTGGCTCTGATTGGCATTGATAGGTGGCACTGACTGGCACTGATGGGTGGCAATGAAAGACAGCTCAGATGGGCACTGATATGTGGCATTGATGTGGCACTGATGGGCACTAGCAGGTGGCATGGGTGAGCACTGAGAGCTGGCACTGATGGACACTGACAGGTGGCAGTGCTGGGGCTACACTGATCATCAGGGCACACTGATCATCAGTGCCCTGATGATCAGTGCACATGTCCCCTCCGAGGAATGCCGATTATCGGCTCTCCTCTCCTCACGAGCTTTCAGCGTGACAGCTCGTGAGGAGAAAAATGCAGAAAACTGGCATTTCCCTATTTACATGCGATCAGCTGTGATTGGACACAGCTGATCACATGACCGAGCCGACATCTTTGGCTCTTTGCGTGGATCGGTGATCCGCTGTGTCCGAGGGACACAGCGCACCGCCGATCGCCGTGCTCCCTGAGCCGGGCATGCGCAGTTTGAATGGGAGGACATCATATGACATCCTCTCAGAACGAGAGAACCGCCTTGGACTATATGGCGGGCGGGAGGCGGTTAAAGAGCTAGTAAACTCTCAGAGAGAAAAACAATTCTTGCTGCAAGATAATCTCATAATGTGCTAGTATGTATTGCATTGCATACTAGTACATTATGAAAGATTTACTTTAAAATGAAGCCTTCCAGCAACATGCTGTCACCACTGACCAGGCTTCCACCTTCACCCAGTCTTCCTTCCACGTTCGCGGCCTTCGGATATTTGAATGTCTGAGCCGCGATGATGCAGGAGTCACGGCCTCAGCATAGTGCTTTGAAGGGACCATGCCACCCTTCAGTGTGCATTCACCAGTGACATCACCGACCGCTGAAACACTGAATATCTCCTAAATGGTGCATGTTTAGGAGATAATCCTTGTACCTACAGGTAGGCTTTTTTAAAAGGTGTTTACTACTATTTTAACACAAACTGGTGTGAAGAAAGTGTTAATCTTAAAAAAAAAAGTAGTCTAAATTTACCAATCTGTGTGAATTAATTAAACTTAGTTTATAATTTTAGCCCATGAAAATGTTCTAGTCTAATAATGTCAAATTGACTAAATACAGCATAGGTGTGGACTTCTTTTTTTTAAATCTCCACATAAAATAGCTACTTTTATTACTTTCCTTTAAAAAACACCTCTTAGAACCTCACAGTTATTATCAGGAAACATCTTATGAGAAAAACACAGTCTGCCATTGCAAAACTTTCTTCTCAAAATGCCTGGCTGTCATGTTAAGGTCCTGGCTTCAATATTTTGAGATTCTGACCTGAAGTAAGTGCAGATAAGGACTTTTCTCTTTCCTGATTTGTATACCTTAACCAGGTCGTTAATGTAAAGTACTGAAGCTTGTCAGTCAGCACAACAGCCACTCAATTATCAAGTCAGTATTAGCGACCACTTATTTCTCCCATGAAAGGATTACTTCAAAGAGTGGAAACCTATGCCATGAGTAAAACGTATGTGCAGTGAATTTAGCTGATCCACAAACTATAGCCTTTAGTGAATTGAAAACACCAATTTGATTATAAAAAATGAACAAATAAGGCAATGCTAATGAAAATAACATATTTGTTAAGCAAATTGAACTTAATGTAACTTCCTGCATAAATCCTAGCTGCACCAAAACGGAAAGTGATGGCTAAATTAGATGAAAGTAATGTTAGTTGTACAGTTACAGGGATTATTTTTTTCATTGTGACCTTTGGCCAACTTTGTTAAGAGAATCTAAATAGTTCACACACTTGACTTTCCTATTTATGTCAACATAAGCAACTCCCAGCAGAATGACTGGTGCTCATACTTCCCGATATTGAGAGATTAGACACACCCCTACCCACAATGTCATGTCTCGTGCCTAAGCAGCTCTTTTCTAGTCCCTAGCATTGCCACTCAAGGCTATTTTTATGTAATATTTGTAGAGGATCTTAAAATGTTTTAGAGGCAAGCAGAAAGCAGACTGTCCATGTAATGTTAAAGCTATAATAATGATAAATCAAAACTACTGTGCTAATTCAATTAACCACTTTACGATAGCCCTATAGCAGAAGTACTGCTACAGGACGCAAGGGCTGCGCAAAATCACATATAAATGCGTGATTTTGTATTGCCTGATAGGGGGCACAAGCATGCATGTGCCATCCTACCCACGCCGCCATTGGCGGCTACAGCTATCGATCACCAGGTCTGGTGATTCCCCCCCTTCACCCGGCGATCGCCAAGGAACAAGGTATGTAAACAATACAGATCTCTCCCCTGTCAGCACCAGCACGCTGCTTTGTATTGCTCTGCTTTGTATTGAATTGCATAGCAGAGCAATACAAAGCAGCATGCTTACACAGTAAAGCACACACAGACAACACAGACAACACAGTAAAAAAAGCACACCACACACAGTTAACCTTTGATCACCCCAGATGTTAACCCCTTCCTGCCCAGTGTCATTAGTAGTGTCAGTGATTTTATTAGCACTGATCACTGTGTCAGTGGAATGTCAGTGATGGTTAGTCAGTTCCCCCCAGTGTCAGAATGCCCGCCACAGTTCATATAAGTCACTGATTGCCGCCATTTTTAGTTTAAGAAATTTTTTTTTCCAGTATATATACGCCATTTGCAGATGCTATAACTTTCATGTAAACCATGTAAATTACACATATTGGGATTTTTTTTTTTTTTTTTTAGCAAAGACATGTCGCAAAATACATTTTGGCCTAAATTTATGATGAAATTTGATTTTTAAAATTTTTTTACTGGATATATTTTAAAGCAAAAAGTCAACAATATTTTTTTTTTTCAAAATTGTCGGTCCTTTTTTGTTTTTTGTGCAAAAAAAACCAAACGCACAGGTGATCAAATGCCACATAAAGAAAACTCCATTTGTGGGAAAAAAAGGACATAAATTTCATTTATTAATCAGATGGTATTATACCCCATCTAGATTACATATCATGTTTCCAGGAACGTCCCACCTTTGCTTCCGGGGCTGTGGCCTTACTGGTACCTTAGTACATATATTTTGGGACTGCCCAGGCCTATCATTGGTATGGCACAAGATCTCGAATGTTGCCTCTGCTGTGGCAGAAGCCCCGGTGCATCTGTCTATGCAGTCTTGCCTACTAGGAGCCCACATCCCAGAAGTTTGGACTGAGATTATGAGGCTAATCCATACCATCTGTATATCCGCCCTATGGGCTATAGCCCTACACTGGAAATCCCTCATGGTACCATTGGCCACAGTTCTGCATAGAGTTAATGCAGTGATGCTCCTGGAGAGAATGAATTACACCTTATTGGATAAGATGCACTTATTTGACAGAAAATGGGAAATCTGGGGAACTCACAGGCATTTACTATCTGACTAAGGTTTACTCATATTTTGGTTGATTGAGTCGTTTTCTTGGTAGCTATATAGCTCTGCATACCCTTCTACCTATATTGCTCATGTACTTAATTTCTTTTCTCTTTCTTTCTTTTTTTACTTTGCATGGTTGTACCATTTGAAATATGCATTACAGACGTGCCTTGTTCCTTGGTTATATCTTACTTGATGTTATACTGCCATTTTGTAGTATATTTCTTGACAAAAAAACAAAATAAAAACTTTGTAAACAAAATGAATGCAGGGCTGTAGCGCAAAAAATGTCCTGGTCAGGAATGGGGGTAAATTTTCTGGAGGGCAAGTGGTTAAACCACATAGTAACTGCTGTAAAAATATTCCAAGGGATAAATGTAATTCTCCATAACAGCACAATAATAATCATAATGTATATAACTACCTCTATTTAAGGTGCAAAGTGCAAAAAAGCCACACAATGAGTATAATGGCACACATAAATATACCAACTAAAGTGCATGAACACAAGTGAAAAGAATGTGCAAAATGTACAGTAATTCTAGGTTAAACATTCATTTTAAAGATGATTACCCCCCCAACACGTATACTGAAGTTAATTTGTGTCATGTGTCAGCCTAGGGTGGCAGCAGGGGAGAGGAGAGAGTGATCAACAGTGTCTGGAATGCCAGGGAGTGGTGACATCCCCCAAAGGCTTTAATCGCCCATCTGTTGTTGGATCCCTACTCTCCCCTGCAGCTGCCGCTGGCTGACACAGGGGAGCTAGATAATGTGACTGAACCAAAGTGGCCAGAAAATGAGTAAGTATATATATCTTTCTTACACAGGTTAGTCAGTATAGGTGATAAACGTTGGGAGGAAGCATTTTTAAGATTAGTTAAGTTTAGCTTGGAATTCCACTTTAATATAATATAACAACATAATAATGCAGTTACTTAAAGTCTTTCAAATTAAGTGCAACAGTGTAATCCAAAAGGTTATCAACGTTGAAGCTGAAATGTGGAACTTGTAAAACTAGTTTCTGTGCTACCAGGTCCACCTAATAAATACGTGTACCACATTTCAAAACCCAGTCCAAAAACACACGCATCTCCAAAATCCTTTGGTAATACTGTATCTATTTAAAATAATAAGATGGTCATATAAAGCATGTTGAATAGAAACATCCAGTAAATGTAAATGTTGACCAAATCTATATATATTATGAAATGTAATATTTCTCTAATATGATTTGGTAAATTAAGAGTTCTTACCTGAAAGTGGAAGCTTAAACACAAGAACAACAGCAATGTATTGGTAAATAGTATGAAGGTCTAAAACTAGCAAAAACTATTTATCTAGTTACATAAAAGAAATATTATTAAGAAATCTCTAACATATTACAAAATACAAACAGTGAGACAGAGAAGACTTAAGACAAACATTTAGATATAAGTGAAAGGGATATATTCCATAATTACCATGGAACTGTGCTTAAGGGCCCCATTCTAGTAACTGGTATTCCAAAAGACTTCTCTCTCCATCTACTGTCTATTGTTATAGGCCTCTCCACCATTAATTTTCATGGCATAGCTCTGATTGGTTGGCGAATCTATTCCCTTTCATAATTGGCTGACTTCAAATCTCCTGTATTTAGCATACACCAACCCCTTTTAAGCCAAATCTTAGCACACCCTTTTTGGAAATTAAATATGCCAGTTCACAACCTTTTCCTGGGAAATTAAGTATTCAGGAAAGGCTGGCCACTTTCATTGCATATCTAAATGAGGGATCCTTTAAAGTGGATATTTGTAAAGCCAACAAGTTTGGTTCCCAATATTAGATAAACAAACTCTGGCACCAAATCATCTGAAAGAGGATTCTCAGCAGAGGAGTGTCAAGACTTCTGTACACAGTAAGAAATTGTAATTAATAGAATATTCCCTCTGGCAACTTAAACCATCCTCAACTATCTGTAGAAGAGGGATTTATGAGAAGACATATTACACACCCAGACTGATATACCTCTAACTGAAATATATTCATAATTACAATATTATTTACAGT